GGGACAGCAAAATGGAAACCAGACACATACTTCTCAGGACACGGATCTCTCGTCTTTCAAACAGAGACCAGGGAGAGAAAGATCACTTGATAGAGACTTTGAAACAAGAAACTTCCTATCTGCACAAGGATTAACCACGGGGTAAACAGAACGTTGTTTACCGATGCGCTGTCAGTGAAGTACCATGGCTACAGATATTAGGAAAACAAATCAATACGTAGGTGCATAGTTGTGTGTCACAAAGCGCTGCTCAACGTTGAGAACTGAAGAGAACTGACCCTACATCAAGTGCGGATTTAGTTCCGCATGAGGCGTATCCACCATGAAAATACACCGTCCTTCTGACTTCTACTTCTACATACAACCGTGTCAAGAAAACGCAATGTTCAATACTGTAGCTTGTACCATTTCTAAGATCACCAAAAAGCAGCAAACATTTGTGAACTCTCCACGGCAACGTCTCTTGTCCGGTTTTGTGTGACACTTTCAAGCGGGAGGATAAATCTTCGACACCTCGCAAACTATCACACCTCGCTAACATCATATTTCGACAACAAAGGCGGCAGTCACTTCAACTCTTGGCCCCTGCTCAAGGGCTAAGCCACCGTCATTTTACAACAAAACGCGCCGGCCTAATTCTCGTGACAAGTCCGGGCTAAGCGCTCACCATTTTCCCCCGACCTCTCAACTTAACTCCACGCGAAGAAATGGAAGAAAGGAATGTCTTAGATGTACTTAAAATACCGGCCTTTCTTAAACCTTGACGAAGCTTGGAAATCCCGCGAAACAATAGTGACCGGAAACGCTTACCGTGTTTGGGTACAGTGCTAGAAATACGTTTTATCAAAGGAGCCCTCATTGCGAATCCTTATCTATTTTCATCACAACAGTCAAGCGAAACAACTCAACCCTCCAGTCGACTTACCTTATAAGTCGATATGTAATTGCTAGCAGCTAACGTATATCTTTAATCTCTCTATATGGATAACGGCAACACAATTATCGTGAAAGGAAATTAACTGAACGGTGTAGTCTTGCCAAGGAACAAGAGAACTCGATTGAGGTGAGCTAAGGTGAAGGGTTCTTGCTACAATGTACTAGAATACGGCTTTACCACATTGCCGCTGCCATAAAATACTTTACTTCCTCCACGTAAAAGCATCCATTATATTTGCCATCATAAAAGATTGTAGGTTGTCTCTAACATCAATAATAACAACAATGCATCAACCAACCAACAACATCAAACAGTAACAGAAAAACGTCTTTATCATCTCTAGATAATTGTAATACAAAATGTTCTTCCACTTACCTCGTTTGTCCTACGATCTTGTTGGCTGTCGTCCAGTAAAAGTTGTAATGTCATCAATATGCGATCGCCAAATACGAGATAAAATTGCACAGTGTATTACTGTGGCTGGATGTTCTTGCTTCGGTGCGAATGGGGAGATCGTAAAAACGCTGGGGTCGGGGTAGGTCAGCCTGTAAACACGCTGCCGTGTCACAGAAACACAACAGCAGAACCCAAAAAACATCCCCACGTGGAAAATTGTATTTTCTTTTCCAACGGGTTAGTGAGAACAGAACGCAACAAACGTTTGATACAACCAGCAATGCAACAAACGTTACAACCACCGCACAACAGAACACAGTGCTGTAGAGTGGAGAACACGGAATCGGAACATAACGTGCGAACGTCAAACAATGAGAGTTGTACTACCTTTAGCTTTGAGCCAGCGACCCTGAAAACTTGTCACACTCAACACTGTTACGTGCTTTTGCAACGTAACATTGCTACGTGTGCTCTATGTCACCCATCAAAACAACCAAGCCCACGCTTCAAACTGTAAGCTCGAGGCAATATACATTCACTCGAGCTCAAACGTAGGGGTCAAAAAAACAACACACGCTAGCAGTGTATATATACATACATAAATATAACGCTACAAAACTATCACATGCACAATACACTTGTTACAATTCATCGTACGAATGTACATTTGTATATGAAGACAGCAAAATAGTCTACAAATTCTAGTGCAAATAAAATAGAAATAGCTCTAAAACTAAAGGAAAGTAAGATATGATGAATGCAGTAGCAGATGCTATTGTAGAGTAGAACTACAAGATGTGTGTCAATCTTGTGAATATTTGTGTTACAATATACTAAGAAAACGTTGCTAGCATATGGGTAGGAATAAATGGGCACTACATACATTTCATAACATGAGTTAAAATAACTACAGTCAGAGACTACCACAGAGTTTTAAAACATTCTGTATGTTACTGCTCTCTGCATATACTGTTAGTGTACAAGTACTGTTCACTGTGGAAATATGTGATTTACTGTTTTGTAAACCTGTAATAAATGTATAGAAGGTATGTGAGTGTTGTGTTCTTGGGTCTGTTTGCGTTGCCAGCAGCTATTACAACGATGCATTCGTGCGGAAATTGTTATCGTGCGATGTTACCTTAGTCTAAGGTTACAAGGGGTGAGATTCGCAGAGCCGATTTGCGGTATTTTGGCTACATTATACATTGGGCAGCAACCTCACACAACGTGGGCATACTATAGTGTATAACTATAGTGGCACTGTAAACATGCATGGTAATGTTGTCTCTGTGCTAGTGTGGGTTATTCTTGTTACTAGAGAGGTGGTTGGTGTACAATCAAGCTGGGTGGCTAGGGCACTGCAGATAAGGGAGCAAGGGGAGGCCAGTAGGGGGGTTTTCTAAGCAGGACAGCAGAGAAAATCGGACGTCCCAAACACGATGTGACGTTTGTGTACTTGTGTTGGACAGGGACAGAAAATACCGTCACATCACGCTCAGAATGAGAACGGAATATGTCGCCATCTAGTTTAGCATGGGAATGTGGAAACGACAGCGTGCAAGCGAAGTAAAGCGTGCATTATATTTTTCAATGAAAACCTGCGGCCATTCCCGCTTGCCTGTTTGTCCAGTGACAAACCTCGTGTAGTGAGTGACCAAACCTCGAGCTGGGCCCCCCATCCGTTCCGACACCTTTCTCTCCCCGCACACACACACACGCTCACACACACCTAACCTGCCCTTTCTCCGTCCCGTAGAAGGCAGGTAGCAAGAGTCTGTGCTCGCTACTGCCCTGTCAACGTGGATACATCTGTGTTTGGCCCGATCCGACTGCTGTCAACGCGCACAACGCTGCCAGGCCTCGGGCAAGGGGCCCTCGACCCCCGAAAGGGGTGCTCGGCACGTTACGATGACCTCCCCTAAACTGGGGCACGCATCCATGTGGCAATCGAACGAAGGAAAATGTAGCAAACTTTGATGCAAGATCCTAACGAACTGCGGAGTAATCCAGGGGTGTGGTGTGGAAGTCCGGTACGCGGCGCGAGGGTTGCCCTCTCAGGGTCCGACCAATCTTCAGATGGAGGGCAGCAGGCCGGCACACCATTCCAGTGACACCACCACCACCACCACACAAACAACAGCACCGCCGCGCCAGGCCACTCAGCTAGCACTCGGACTGCCTCGGCGTTCCGCGCCGACACAGCCTACACAAGGCTCTCCTCACCTTTCACAAGAAGGGCTAGCGGGAGAAGAAGCGTCCTGCTCCTAAGCGGGGGCCTTCCCGGCGCCATCTAACCGATGTCATGAGTGCGGTTTATCGGGGTAACTCTCAATCTGTCCCGAGCGCGATTCCTTCTGGCCTCGGCCCAGCGCGCATGGACACAAACTGACCGCGTGCAACCGGAGTGCGCTGTACACTTCCGCGTAAACAACGCGCACTAGTTCGTCGGGTGGGACGTGATGTAAACAACGTGGTGGCGATTCCTGGAAGCTGGGTTTTCCACGCAGCGAATCTAGGTGTATCTCTGTGACGCAGTAGCATCAGTGGGGAATGTTCAGAAATGATTGATCCTTCAAGTGCCCCAGGAAAGCAACAACCTATCAAAAACGGCTGGGTCGTCTTTTGTGCGTTCGCTTTTAATAGCACATTCACTGGCGTATACATCGGGTATAGAAACATGTAATTCCGCGCATGTATATAATCAAATCTTGCAAAGCGAAGGTCGTTGCCATGCCAATATAAGACGGCGGTATGAGTAGTATGACGTAGATGTCGTGCCAATTATTTTTCGGCTGGATTATGCCTATTTTTTTGGCAACAATTATTTTCTTGAAATTTAATCATTGAAAGGGAAGATTGAGAGCCACGCATATTATAAGCCTAATTATGACGCACCAGTTTTTTTTTATGAAAAAGGCTTTTACGTCAAGTGGATTATTTTTAGACGATATTTGAGCTCGTACTAATGCCGGAAATAAGGGGCGTTGATTCATAATTTTTTACAACTTTCTTGTCTATTATAGTGTAGGTATAGTTGTGTTTTTTTCTAACGTTTTGTTGTTGTTCTAACACAGATGTTGCGTATATATTTTCTATTAAAACACAGGACAATGGGTGGGGGTGGACTCAAAATATCCTTTTCCGCAATACCTGTATGCAGTATCAATATATATAGACAGTCTTTCTTCAATCTGCCTGTGTTCTACTTAGATGGAAAATTATAGTAGAGCAGTACAGAATTAAAAGTTGACACATATTGCAATAATTTTACTTCTGGCATCATATTCAAATTATGAAATAATAGTAATCACAGAAATTCAAGTTCGGTCGCTGTATGGTGCATGAGAAAATTTTGAGTAATTTTCTAATGTTTTTTTTTCTCATCGCCCCTCTACTCTATTTACAAAAATTTCTCTTTTTTTCTTTTGATTGTCATTTGTTACACTGTATATTTCCTAAGGAGCCGGCTTTGTAAAGGAACCAGGTTGTTTCTTCTGCTGCCTTGTCCTCACAAATGTTGTTTGTTTGTTTGTTTGTTTGTTTATTAAGGAATTTCCAATTAGCGACAATACAACCAACCTGAAGTCCTCTTACTTAAAATACACACATTATCATAACTACTATTTGCATTCAATTTAATTTTGAAATAAAACATTTTCTTACTTACATTTGCCATGTGATCTTCTCTGTGAAGATCTTCTTGAATCTGTGAAGTGTAAACAAAAAATAGGAATAGATAAATAAACAAAAAATTAATTCATATTTTCCGTGTAACCCGTTACTAATGGTAGCAGAACCGTCCCTAACTAAAGATGTTATTGCATGGTGTAAATCCGCCCCATGGTACAAGGACACACATAACTCGCCACCTATTCCCAATGGTCTGATCGCATTAACGTATTTATGCGCATATAAATATGCCAGTGTTGCCACCAGCATAAAAACAGACTTTTTTAAATTTATCTTACGGACAAATGGGTGGTCCCTTCAACCGTTGAGGCTGATTTCCAAGGGAGCCCATGGAATACAAGAAAATAATGTAACATATATAAAATAATACTAATTAAACGTAACAAAGGAATTCGAAAAACAAGGAAGGGCAAGAGTAGTTGAACAACATATGGTTAACATTTAGATCTTCAGTATATATATACCGGTGCTAAGAAAAAAAATTGAAAAAAAGACATACGTGACTTTGCTATGATAAATCCAATGTACGGCTTGTGTGTGCTAAAAATGTTAGCTAAGAAAGCAAATACAGATGTGAACTGGATATGTTCTACAAAGGGTTAATATGGAACAAACTAATTTTGGACGGGAGGGACACTGTGAATGAAATATGCTGGAAAATGAAATCTGTCTCTTGCTACATGCACCATCCATGAAAAAGTAGCGAAGTAACTAAATCTCGATTATTGTACATTATGTAGTATATATAGTAAACAGTACTTGTAAAATTACAGCACGATAGAAAACTACTACTTCTTAATCACAAACTTGCATCAATACGCTTTTGTCTTATCTATTTTTCAAAAATCAAAGTATTTGATTATGACAAGGCCTGGCAACATTGTACTGGTATATATGGTGCTTTTTCTTTCGTATCTTTAGTCCAAACTTCCACAATTCTAACGTATATTCTTCTAAATGACCAAATATCTGTATACATGTATGGTTTCTATAAGCTTTAGTGTGTTAGTTCAAAAAGAAAACATCTTTTTCTTGTTTTTCAACTAGCTCGTTGCTCTATGTGTCACTAGGCTCAAGAAAGAACCTACCACATTTATTTGGGGGCCGAAATTAACAGGGGCGCAATGGGACGTCAACGCATAGCCTCACCACCCCCGTGGTGCATGACAAATGGACTAGCCCTTTGATACCTACCACCCACTGAGTCAGAATCACCATGAATATATTCCGTTGGCCTTGACCTTTGCAAACATTAGCGTCAGGCGTGGGGGAACAAAATATTCCCCGAGAGAGTCACCGGCATGTAAATGGGGAAAAGACATTTCTCGTCGAGGGAGTATCAAATATAAACGTTTTAATTTAAAACCCCAACGGTAAAAAAAACATATTTCAAAATTCATATCCAAAAAAACAGTCGATGAAATAGTTAATTCATGACATCAAGTAGAAGGTAGAAGAATATGTAATAATAGTAAGTTACTCATTTTCAAGCACTATCAAATAATATAAAATGGTTTGACAGAATTGAGAAAAATGAATTACAGAATCAAAGATGACGCGTATAATATATATGTATGGAAAATATACGCATTGGGGATATCATAATTATATAATGATCTCTATATCAGGAGACGCCATTGCAATATTCTTCTACCTGCTTACAAAAGAAAGACAATAGACAGCTATATTTTGCTGTGCAAGATTTTTTTTACTGCCCTGCTATATATATTTACATTACACTGAAAAGAGTCCAATGGGCGAAAGAAACAAATCGTACAGTTGTATCTACCTTTTTTTTCAAACTTTGCTCCTGTTTGTTTGTGTGTGTTTGTTTTTGTTTGTTTGTTTGTTTGTTTGTTTTAACTACATTTTCCAGTAAACATTGCTAGTGCTGAATATCGTATAGGTACAATGAATATGCTTTTTAAATATCTTAAACAGACTCTACGTGCGCGGAAGCTAAAGCTTGAGATCGCACATAAAAAAAAAGAGAGATAAGAAAACAGAGATTTCCGGCAGTAAACTTTATAACCATCCTCGCCTCTCTATAAAAGTTCAGGCTTGCTAGTCTGTTGATCTTTAGATATCATCATGTCAGCATTGAATAATAAAAGTTGATGAATTGATATCAGAATGGTTGTTCCTGCACTGTAGCGTTTGTCCGTGACACCTAACCTTGACCCTTGATAAGAACAAGGACACCGTGAAAACAACTGATAAAATATGCACCTTTGGGTACTGAGGAACCGGGGTTAAACGAGGTGACTGTCAGGGAACCAAAAATGTATTATAGCATGCTCTCTCTCTTTACTTCGATTTTTCCATCGTTATTCTTTTATGTTCATTGATTTCAACGCATTTCAGTATCCGTGTTTGAAGTACATTTCTTTATTATATTGTGAGACATTTGATAGTGATGGGACTTATTCGGATGGTGGTGAGCATAGTAGAAACAAGTTGAATCCTGGCTGATGAGGACGAAAAATACATACAAACCTTTACCTCCTAAACCACCACCCAAAACAATACCTCACCATATGTAGGCTAAATAGGCAAACTGGCTACATGTAACAACCTTGGTCTGCTCATGACTCATTGGTTGACTATTTAGCCACTATTTTGCCCATTTTTGCTATTTTCTAGCAAAAATCCTCGATTGACTTACATCATTTCAAGTAACCCAATAAGTCTATTAAAGACGACTGTTTCTACGGATCCTTGTGATGAAAGGAACGCCCCAGAGATGTGCCTGTGGGCTTTTCAACATCTAGGGCACCAAGTTTGATTTTCTTCAGATGGTAGTCCTGAATCTAGAACTTCTAAAAATAGCACCTACTGTGTGTGTGTCAGTATGTGTGTGTGTGTGTGTCAGTGTGTGTGTGTGTGTCTGTGTGTGTGTGTCTGTGTGTGTGTGTCTGTGTGTGTGTGTCTGTGTGTGTGTGCGCGCGTGTGTGTGTGTGTGTGTGTGTGTGTGTGTGTGTGTGTGTGTGTGTGTGTGTTTGTGTGTGTGTGTGTGTGTGTCTGTGTGTGTGTCTCTATGTGTGTCTGTGTGTGTATGTGTCTGTGTGTGTGTGTGTGTGTGTGTGTGTCTGTGTGTGTCTGTGTATGTGTATGTGTGTGTGTGTGTCTCTCTCTGTGCGTGTGCGTGTGTGTGTGTGTGTGTGTGTGTGTGTCGCAAAAAAATCTTGCAAAAGATGAGCATCACTAGCCGTCCATCCATATATATTGATCTGTAACCTCAGAACAAGGACATTGAATGATCAGTTCTTTCAAACTCATCAAACCGAATCGATATACAGAAGCTAGGGGCAACAGTTTCCGATGCCGCGGATTTCCGAGAAATGCGATTTAGGAAAACGGTACATACAGTAATTTTCCGCTGTTATCACAGAGCACTGGGCACCCCCGTATGTGGGTCATTGTAGTGTCGAAAGTACTAGTAGAACATTACTGGACATTGGTCCTTTTTATCTTACTCTCCAGTCTCCAAGCAGAGGTTAGGTTTGTTTTAGGCGTTTTTGTGTGCGTTTTCAGGCGCCCTGTGTTAGCTTTTCTATAGGCAAGTGTACTTGGTGACAAAATCCTACTTCATGCACTCCTATTATGGTATCTTCTATCTGCTCACTATATGAAAACTGCCACAATTTATTTATCAATTTCGATACACTGATTTACCACATGTGGAAGGACTGCGTAAATAATAACATGTCTTCTCTCTAACCTAGTATTTCTCACAGCCAGTGAAAATACAGACAGCGGACACCATTCCCAAGAAAGGTCATTCACCCAATCTTCTTCAACCATGAAAACAATTTCATATCCTTGTTTGTACCATTGTTTTTTTTCATCTTCTTTTTTTTTTAATATTACCGTATCCACAGTGGCATATATATGACGTCACAGAGCCTAGCTGATGCACATTTTCAGAGATGTTGTCAACAGAGCTGACCTAGATACCGGTCATTGACCTTTCTGGAAACTGTTTGGTCGAATAATTTATGCAGATTGCAACATCTTTAAAAAACGTTAGCCGTAAGAGGCTACCGTGAAGAAAAACAACATCTTCTGAAAAACATTTTGCGCCATCATAGTTTGAATAGGTAGTATTTGACATGACATCTCTTCACTAGTATGTTTGTTTACATGTGCGATTTTTTGGTCATGTGTTTTTTTCTCTATTCTGATTGTAAATGTGTAATTGTAGAAAAAGAATCAAACAAAAAAATTGTGAAATCGAATTTTCAAAATTTATCCCCACGAAAAAAGAGTACATCTAGAAATTAGTTAAGCATTAAAAAGAAAAAAATTAAAATTAGCCTCCTTGCAGGCTTTCGGGTGAGGCCTTTTTCGTGATATACAATCAGAAAACAGCACATATAAAAAAAACCTAGCCCAAAAGCCTGGTAAGGAGGCTACACAGAAGATTCGTGTTTGAGAAAATCTTGTTTCCGCCGAGGCCTAGTTTTTAGGTCATTCGTTAAATTAAGGCCAGTTTAATTGCCGGAACAAAAGTCGATGCGGATGAATTGGAAGGTGCGAGGAGAAACAGCCGTGGTTGGTCGATGGCCACCTGTCCTCAGGATTCCAGGAAAGACGGAAGTACTAGTAGTTATGATTGCGTTATTTATTTATCTATTTATTTATTTATTCATTCATTTATTGGTTTTGAAGGGTGCTTATGTAAGGCTGGTAGATGTGAATATGCTTTTGGATTGTCCGAATTACTAGTAGTTCCTGTTTACCAGAAACATAATATAATTATAAAACGACGTGTTGACGCAACAATGTGTTTTTTTTAACGTTTGTACATGAGAGAGAGAAAGAGTGATAGCATCTGAACCTATGTCAACATATATGTCTGTATATAAGTATATAATTATATATCTATAGATCATAATATCTCACATGACATGTTCTTGTAACACATCAGAATGAGAGAGTATTGTGATAGCATCTGAATCTGTGCCAACATATATACATGTATCTTCATGTATCCGATATATCTTACATAATTTA